TTTTTTTTGGACTGAAATACATAAGAATCACCACCAGAGGGAGCAGTAAAGGGAAAATAAATGTCAGTTTTAGATACTGAATCCTGAAATGGTAAATTGTGAGTTATAAGAACCAACAGTTCTTTATGTTTTAAAAGAAAAAGTGTTTACAATGAGTATTTAAAAGGCACTTTATTTGTTGTGGACATTAGGATTGAATCTAAAGTTAGTAACAATCCTTTAAACTTTCAATGACCAAGGACTAGGTTTGCTCCTCTCTCTACAGAAATTTTTTTTTAAGATTAAGGCATGTTAAAATAATTTAATGTCAAGTAAATTTGGATCAAGCATTAATGACTTTGAAACTTGTGTAGTAGTTCAGCTGAGGCAATTTTTTTGGTGTAACGCAACTAATATGCAGTTTAACATATGGTTTAAATTTGATGTAAGTTTTTTTTTTCCCCCCCAGAAAACTTTAGAAACTGTTCCTTTGGAGAGGAAAAAGGTACTCTGCCAGCAGGTCACCTCATATTTAAGAATTTAATTTCCTGCATACAAAGAGGAAATGTAAATAAAAATTGAAATGATGTTTTCCTTTGCAGAGAGAAAAGGAACAGTTCCGTAAACTTTTTATTGGTGGCTTGAGCTTTGAAACCACAGAAGAAAGTTTGAGGAACTACTACGAGCAATGGGGGAAACTTACAGACTGTGTGGTACGTTATTAAATGTAAAAATGTCTATAGATGCTAGTCTTTCAACTTTTGGACTCCTAAGTTTAACGTGTTGAGTAAGATATTTTTAAAGCCAGGTTCATGAAAATTGCTCGTCATTCAAACTGCTTTTTCATAACACAAGTAATAAGAAGAAATGCTAAAGTTTCCCCTTTGTTGTTGTTGTTTTAAGGTCATGAGAGATCCTGCAAGCAAAAGATCAAGAGGATTTGGTTTTGTAACTTTTTCGTCCATGGCTGAGGTTGACGCTGCCATGGCTGCAAGACCTCATTCAATTGATGGGAGAGTGGTTGAGCCAAAACGTGCTGTTGCAAGAGAGGTGAGCAAAATAGAACTTTGTCAGTAAATATGAAAATAACTAAGTTTTATACGTAACTTAAATCTTGCCACTTTAAAGCTCTGTCAGTCTTGTGTCTCTTGATTTTCCTAGATTTGCCTACTTTTCTGAAACTAGTTTTTTAGTTATAAGCTATTGCTTTAGGTGGTATTTTATCATAGAGTAGAAACTACTTTTGGTACCTAGATATTGTGCTCTAAATCATGTTTTGGTTTGTTAAGGTAGTTTCTTTTTTTCCTTTTTCAGGAATCTGGAAAGCCAGGGGCTCACGTAACTGTGAAGAAGCTGTTTGTTGGTGGAATTAAAGAAGATACTGAGGAACATCATCTTAGAGATTACTTCGAAGAGTATGGAAAGATTGATACCATTGAGATAATTACTGATAGGCAGTCTGGAAAGAAAAGAGGCTTTGGATTTGTTACCTTTGATGATCATGATCCCGTGGATAAGATTGTGTGTAAGTGTCTATAAGCTCTAGGTGTATGGCTGTTTTCATTAATTTTTGGGTTTGTTTGTTAGAAGGTAAATTGTACAAGCTGTTGGTAAAGAATATTGATGTAATAGAGTACGAATTTTTCATTCCAGTGCAGAAATATCATACCATCAATGGTCATAATGCAGAAGTAAGAAAGGCTCTGTCTAGACAAGAAATGCAGGAAGTCCAGAGTTCTAGAAGTGGAAGAGGAGGTAACGTCTAACTTGTTTATTTTACTGTATTTTATTTTATTTTTTTAAGATTTGTTTAATAAAATGCCTGTTACTAACCTGGTTGTTCATTGCAGGCAACTTCGGTTTTGGAGATTCTCGTGGTGGTGGTGGAAATTTTGGACCAGGCCCGGGAAGTAACTTTAGAGGAGGATCTGGTAAGTTCACCTGCGTGAGTAGAAAGGTGAATATGCTTGTTTAAAAACTTAGTTTTAATTAGATTCAGGAAATCCAGTGTTTTTGAAGGGTTAAGTAGGTTGTATTACGCTGGGATATTCTCAATTGGTCAGGTAAGAGGTTATAGCTAAAAGCATAATTTTCTAAATTCTAATCCAGAACAATCCATTGCAGACATCTTTTTAAGGTAATCAACTTTTTAAAAAAATTAGGTGCTACTACAGTTACTTTAAAAAATGAGGGACCCCCTGAATCAGGAGTGAAAATATTGTGGAGGCTTTGTGTATTTGTTGTTGTTTTTGGCTTTAGGTTTCAGATTTGTTTGGCTTGGCTTACTAATGTGATGAGGTGCCAACAGAAAACCAGTTGTTTCTCTCACCCAACTTCATTCTTTATAGATAAATGGAATCTCTTAAATTGAGACTTGCCAAGTCTGAGCCTCTTGTTTAGGCAGTTATTCTCATGAGATCTAATTACACAATTTGTGTTTTAAGAATAAACCAGTAAACACCAGTGTTCTGGCACAAGGAGGTTGGTTCCTGATAATTTTCATTGAGAGGTACTAATAAAGAGGGTGGAGGAAAGCAGGAAGAGAAATTAAATAGGGTGGACAGGATTTAATAACGTTTTTCCTGTTTCTAACAGATGGATATGGAAGTGGTCGCGGATTTGGGGATGGCTATAATGGGTATGGAGGAGGACCTGGAGGTCAGTTTCTTTCACATACGGTTTTTGTGACTTAAAGATTTAAACCCTATTTGTGTTTGTCCAGTTAAGTGTGTACATAAAATTTTAAGTGTTTTGCATTTTATGTTTTGTAAAGGGCTTAGGTGATAGTGTTTCAATTATTTGGCTATTCCTTCATAATTTGCATTTTTTTATGGAAAGGATATTTTTGCTTGTAGGTGTTTACAGGTTGCAAATTATTTCAGTGGATTTTAAGTTAGAATTTATAGATGCTGTCATACTATATCCCATTGTTTCTCAAGCAAAATAATTAGATATGTATTTCATGTGCTGTTTTCCTGAAAAACTACAAACCAATAGATGTGATCATGGTTAACATGTCAGAGGAAGTATATGTAAGCAGTTGTGTTGTTTTAGTCTCTTACCAAGGTTAAGTCCATAAGATAACTTGTAAAAAGTCACCAAAAGGATTTCTAAAATACACAACATTCTTCCTGGGTTTAGCTAAGTTGTGAATTACTGTTACGTAATAAATGTATTAGATATATGTTCTGTTGGAGTACAGGAAAGTTAATATTTGCTGACAAATATCCTATTAAGAAAGGGATATTATAAACTGAGCTAGTAGTAGACGCGATTGCTGGTTTTGCCACTCCTTAAGCGTAACTGAGTTACTCCAACATCTCAACTGTTTCAATTCTGCTTTGAAGTCCAGATATTAATTGGTATTAAGAGAAAGAGGAGTTCTTGCACCTCAATAATTTGAGACTACCATTGTAAGTTTTTTAATTAGATGCAAGTTTGCTAATTTCTGGTCCTCCCCCCATTTCTACTCAGAAGGGTGTTGTGGGTATATTATTTAAGAGACATGGTTATTTATCAGGAAGCATGTTTGGAATTTAATATTTTGGACCAGCAGAGGTGTGTGGCTTTTTTATCCCGCTTGCCTATGCTTCTCGTCTGCCCCCACCCCCCAATCCTTACACAAAATACAAACTTTTGAAAGTACCTGTACGAATCTTTAGTATCTTTAGTGTTAGGGGAGAACGGCTATGGCATTGCAAGTATTGGTCTCTGTAAAGGTTTTTATCCCGTTGGTTGTGAGGAGGTGTTCCCTGCCTCTAAATGTTTATCAAGCATACGTACTCTATTCTGCCCTTGAGGCTGTTACGGAAGAGGTTTTGTAGAACAAATATTTTGCTTATAAGAATGTGTTTTGGAAAAGTTGGAAATGGGTGTGATAAGATAGTTCAAATGGTATTGAAAATACTAAGTAATTACTTAAAGGCTTATTTTATAATAGGTGGCAATTTTGGAGGTAGCCCTGGTTATGGAGGAGGAAGAGGAGGATATGGTGGTGGAGGACCTGGATATGGCAACCAGGGTGGGGGCTACGGAGGTGGTTATGACAACTATGGAGGAGGTAATAACTTCACCTGCAACCTTTATGTGGGAATTTGGATTGGAATTAAAATGATTTAACAAGTGAGATTTTTATTTCAATGTTGTCAATAGTTGCCTTATACTGTAGAGTTGTAGATAGGTGTTTTGCATTTATTCTGATTGTTTTTATGGGAGATTTTGTCCTAAATATTTAGCATATGTTGCTAGTTGAATGTTGGAATATGTTATTTTGAAAGTCATGATGCAAAACCTATTCTTCCGATTTTTTCACAGGAAATTACGGAAGTGGAAATTACAATGATTTTGGAAATTATAACCAGCAACCTTCTAACTATGGTCCAATGAAGAGTGGAAACTTTGGTGGTAGCAGGAACATGGGGGGACCATATGGTGGAGGTAATTTATAAGGTTCTTTAAATTATTTTGTGTGATTAAAGGATTAGTCTTAAGATACTTTAATTGCTAGTTTGAGTAATATTTCCATTATAACTAAAATGATAGGATTGGATATTCAGTGGTATAGAATATTTAGGACTTAAAAAAGTAGGTTAGACACTTCAGGTGGGGCTCTTTTTCTTTGGCTGATTACTTTTTAAAAAGCCAAATAAAATTGAGCACATTGCAAGCTATATTAAATTCTATGTTTCTCTTTGAAAGTTAAATCACAAACCTTTATTTCACAGTATTAATAAGCTCTTAAAGTTTTCAGTAGAACCAAACCGGTTTTTTGTCCTTTTTTTTTTTTTTTTTTTTTTTTTTTTTTTTTTATCTTACTCCAAATGATTGTGGTAGATCATGTTCTCAATTGTAAAGGGCAAATTAACCTTTTTGTGAGTCTGGATAAATCATTTCCCGAGTAATAGGTTGACTAGAAGCAGGTAACAGGTTATGAGCTGCTTGTTTCAAGGAGTGTATATCTATAAAATAGAAATCGGTTATAGTTACTATTAGGCTGATTGCAGAAAATGGGAGTAAATTTGCTTTCTCTTGCTGTTTTTAACAATTCTAGGAAACTATGGTCCTGGAGGCAGTGGAGGAAGTGGGGGTTATGGAGGGAGAAGCCGATATTGAGCTTCTTCCTATTTGCCATGGGTAAGTAGCTTTTGAGTTTTACCTTATTATTGTCTTGGGAGATCTAGCTGCCAGGAGTAAAAGCTTTTTAGGATCATGTTATCTTTCCTTAAAATCTGGTTAGATGGATAATTTCATAACCTATTTTTTTTTTACTCTTTACTTCTGTTGAAACAGGCTTCACTGTATAAATAGGAGAGGATGAGAGCCCAGAGGTAACAGAACAGCTTCAGGTTATCGAAATAACAATGTTAAGGAAACTCTTATCTCAGTCATGCATAAATATGCAGTGATATGGCAGAAGACACCAGAGCAGATGCAGAGAGCCATTTTGTGAATGGATTGGATTATTTAATAACATTACCTTACTGTGGAGGAAGGATTGTAAAAAAAAAAAAAAAAATGCCTTTGAGACAGTTTCTTAGCTTTTTAATTGTTGTTTCTTTCTAGTGGTCTTTGTAAGAGTGTAGAAGCATTCCTTCTTTGATAATGTTAAATTTGTAAGTTTCAGGTGACATGTGAAACCTTTTTTAAGATTTTTCTCAAAGTTTTGAAAAGCTATTAGCCAGGATCATGGTGTAATAAGACATAACGTTTTTCCTTTAAAAAAATTTAAGTGCGTGTGTAGAGTTAAGAAGCTGTTGTACATTTATGATTTAATAAAATAATTCTAAAGGAAATTGTGTAATTATAGACTTTTTATTTTAAATAAGTTAAGGAGTGGGTAGTATAATTAAGGTCCTTTGCAAAGTTGTTGTTATATTTGTGTAAGATAAATGCTGGTCAGATATAAGTGTGTTGTCTGCAATTCATCAGGATTAAATTATCTAGATAACTTAAGGGATATCTCTGCAAAGAGAAACACCTTTTTAGATCTTTTAGATGCTGCTTCTTCAATGCAAGGAAAGGAAATAACCCCAGCGAGGTACTCTTCAGGGATACAGGTCTAGTACAAGAGAACTCTTGACGGCTACTAAGTTCAGCCAGTCTTAAAAAACTGTGCTGTTTCTACAAAGCTTTAACTACAGTAGTTTATAAGGATGACAACGAAAGCTGAGGGTGTAGAGCAAAATAGTTCTAAGCTTCAGTTAAACTTCTTTAGGTAAGATCTTATTTACTTTTCCTTTCTTAATTTTCCTCCCCAAAAGATAAACTAATACTACTCTTCAATGGTCTTTCAGTATAGTGGTTCTTATGTAGTTTAACATAGCTATAAATTTGAGTTTAACAATTTATAAACTCAAGAGAATCTTATAAACCCTGTTTTCCAATCTGTCATTTACTTAAATTATTTTGGTTGTTTTTTTCCCCCCTTTTTTCCCTTCTTTCCCACCCCCTCCTCCCTCTATGAAGATTCAGGTGCTTAACATATCATTTTTTTCCCTGCTGGAATTTAGCATTGATATGAACCATGGACAAGTATATTCTGCTGCCACAAAGACTGTAAAGTGCTTCATTTCAACAGCTGAGGCGCAAGCCAAGTGATCATTAATAAAGCTTTTCTTGGTTCCTTCAGTGGTGTTGGTAGTAAAATGGTAGGTAAAAGTTAGGCTGCAAGTTCAATAAATCATGAAATTACCCATCATTACACCCTTGTGTATTCACATTTCTTGGATCAAGCATTTTGAGTGAACTAGTGGTTTTTATTAAAAATAAAGAATTTTGTTCTTCTGTTATATGGTTGTTCCTAGTTGTACATGCTTATCAGGGTCAGGCTCAGGAGAAGGTAGGGTAAAATGGTTGAAACTTTTCAGATGATAGTTTATATTTATGAATAAAGTGTCTACATTATAAATCCTGTATGTATCAAGTACTAAATATTTAGGTTTAAATGTGGTAATTCTTTCCAATCCCCTACCTTATAGGAGAGATGTAGGTTGGCTGCTGAAATTCATTTTTAAGTGTCAACAGTTTGATTTGCCTGGCTTTATTGCCTTTTCAGGAATGTGATTATCAGGGCTTATTCTACTGTATGCACCAGTGAGTCTTCTTTGATCCTAAGACCACCACTGAAGTTATTTAGGTTCTTTGGACAAACATGATAAACTTCTTCAGATACTTTTTTTTTCCTTTGGCAGGAAGGTGTCTTGCTGCAGGTAACTAATGAAGAAGTGGTCAACCACAGAGTCTTCAAGAAATAAGAAATACTGTACCATCTGAAAGTAGTTCTTGTTGGTGCCTTCATTTAAAAAAAAAGCACTTTAAGATTAAAGGGAAATGTTTTCTGATAAAATACATCATTTAGTACAGGTTCTTAATATAAAACCATTACAAATTGAGTACTGTTTGTAAAAGAGTAACATCAAGTAAGCTAGAGAGAGAAATGTATCATGTTTTAAATTAGGTTTTGTGAGTAGACAGATTAAAATTCTATTTTAAATATAAAGTTTATAAAATAAACAGTTTTGTATTCAAATACTTGGTGTAATGTTTACACATAAAATGTGTGAATCTTGTTCTATCAACTTACAGTTGTCTAAAAGATTGCCATCCCCTAGAGTTTTAAAGCAGTTTCACCAATCTATGCATATTGCCATTTTTATTTCAATATTGATAGTCAAGAAAAGCATTGTGGACATTATTGGCTGTCCCTAATAAAATGCCATTCTTTTTATACTGTACATTCAGCGTTTGAATACTGCTCTAGTTTTCTCGCTTTACCTTGTTATGTTTAACATTGCTGGTGGCGTTTTTGCAAATATTTTAAACAACTAGAGTGGTCCCAGTTAAGGGCAAAGCACTGAGACACCATCTCATACCAGTTTCTCAGATGTCAAGTAGCTTTATATGCATCTCAAACTTAGTTTCAGTGGTTGTCTTTTTTAAGGGTTAAACATGGTGGACGGAGTTTTAATAAGCAGTGCCTTGGATGTTTACCTGAAAGAATGAAAGATGCATAGAAAGGTTGATTTAACTTTTTGTTGTTTTGGTTTTGATGAGGTATCTCACAGGTAAGTTAAACTAATGGCCAAAAGAAGATGAACTGTTTTGTTTCAAACAGTAGCTGCATCCATCAACTACTTGTGAGAATGCTTCAAAGTTAGGTAAATTTTTTGAAGGTTTTAGAAATGCCCAACTCTACCAAGAAGTTGAACTTGAAAGGTAAATCAAGTTGGTATGCTAACAAAACGTTAAGTACCTAACCCTTAATCTGCACAAATGGGAAAAATGCACATCAAGCTCACTGGCTTACTTCAACTGAGTAGGTAATGTTGAATACTCCACAGGCATTTTCCCCATGTGTATGTTGTATATTGAGCTGTTTAAGAACTTGAGATAAGTGTGGTTTTTGTGTAAGTTTTCTACCAGAAGGAAATCACAACCTTTGATACATGTATAGTATTTCTAAAACCGGCTTTAATTAATTAACCCTTAACCTCAATACTTAGTTCAGAGCAACAATGAACTCATCACTTTGCAGGTCAACAACTTAAACTGCAAACTGCAGCTGTGACTCTGCGGAAGCTCAAGGTTGCAGTTAGAGAAAATTTGATTAGGGCATACTGACAGGACTGGCAAGTTGTTGCTGGCCATTCCCTCCCCAGTAGCGAGCTATCCCAAGAGCAACCCAAAGCCTCCAAATAGGATCAGTGTTTGGAAGTGATGCTACCTTGTGTATTGGTCATATTCTACAGATTGAAGGGTTTTACTTACAAGAATACTGAGAAGCTAGCATCATTGGGAGCCAAATTGAGGGCTGGCTCCCACACTAGAGTGTTACTCACTGAAAGTTTTTGAAACTTGGTCTTCCTATTGTGTTTAAAGTTTTCATTAGTCTGGTGTATGAAGGCAAGCTAAGACCTAAAAGTCATTAGAAATTATTTGTACTAACAGTACAGGGTTAATTCAAGGAAACGTTAAAAGAATCTTAATCTTGGTACCTTAGTAATGACGGTTAACCAGCTCACAAGTATGGGTTCCTTGCCAAGTAGGAAACATGAATCTCAGTATACCAAAAAGCACATGCACATTCTTGGCAACATTTTATGTATGTGTGTCATCTTTGGAATGAATGCCTAGATGGTTGATACTCCCCATCCAGCTTCAATGCCATACCACTGTGACTGCAACAATAACTTGTTAGCTGAAACGGGGCTTTTGGTGACTGGTCAAATTAGTGAGGTGAGTAGTAGACTACCCAAGAAAGGGGCAAATTCAGGAGGAAGACGGATCAAGAAGGATAAAAGCACTTGCATTCTCCATTCTGGGGCTTGGGTGTGTGCAAATTGTGTCCTGAGTTCCACTGGTCGCTGTTGGAACTGGAACCAGCCTTGACGGGGGACCCAAATAATCCGGACATTCTTGTTTACCACATGTTACGTGGAGATTGTACAGTGGGGAATCTAATTTCACCTTCTCTAAGACTTTGTTCAACATTGCAGCCTATTGAGGCTACTTTTGAAACGGGATGGCTTTATCTGGAAAACAAAGATGAGAATCTGTTAAGATTTCTTGAAACTTTATAATTGAAGGAATGGCTTACAGAAGTACGTTTTTTTCCCCCATAGGTGAAGAAGGTAAGACTAATTTCATGTTGGGTCCAACTCAAACTGGGATGGGAGTTGGCCCTTACGCACAAAGGTGTTCACCAAAACGTGTATTTCATAGCAGCCAAAGGTAAACTATATAAACTACAAGATGTTTGAGTAGATAATTACTCGTCTCAACTGTGTAGATCTTCGTGATCGATCACCCTTACAGTTTGCATTTGTAAACCCTGTACCAAATACTTGGGAACACGTTAGATACGAAGTTCACGTAACTCCCCTTAAAATCTTACTTTGATGTAGTCTCTCCAAAAAGGTGCGGTCTCCTGAGCCATGGTTTGTTAAGATTGACTGGAGTGATAAACAGGAAATGGGTCAGATAATTGAGTATAACTTAACTTGAATCAAGTTATACCCAGTAAAATACATAGTTTCAATTAGGTTTTGATATTTAAAGTAATTAGGTTAGATTGCTCCTTTTCTCCAACATTCACCAATTCTCTGAACTCCAGGCTAACTCCATTTTAAGACTACTTCCTAGCTAGCAAGAACATTTTAGTCAATCTGCAAGAGTGTTTAGGCTGAAATTTTGGTGTGGGATTTCCATTGCTGAAACTGGCATATTGTGGGAAAGTAAGCTCCCATTTACGTGCTTTGAAGCCATTGTGATTTTTGAGGCCAGTGGAAACTTGTGAAAAGGTTAGATAAAACTTTGGAGGAAGCTTGATGGATTTACTTTACGGGTCACAATGGACCAAATACCTTCCAGACAGTTTTAAGTTTTTAGTTATTGTGACTGTCTTGAGTCCATGTTACCTTTAGGTGCCTTATTTACCTGCATTTGATGCTTTGAGTGTAGTTGGTCATTGTGCTTGTGCTTTCAAGGATTAGAGGACCATGCCTAGTCTGTTAATACAGTGTATGATGGTACTTGTAGTTTGAAGACCTACAAGTAAATTGGTAATACAGAAGCTCAAAGTGAAGATTTGATGTAACTTCTGAGGGAATGTGCCTTGCTAAAATCAAGGATCAAGTTACAATTGGAGGTGTGCTCCCTTGCAAAACCAGTCTAAACAGATTTTAAGTTACTGTACAAAACTGACCCAGATCTGGAAGCATTTCTACAAACCAAAGTAGTGTTCTGACTTGTGATACTCTGTGGTAGACAAGTAGGACAGAAATTCCTGATAACTTTTTTTTTTTTTTTACCATCTTACTGCTGAAATAAGCTCATTGAGCTTCATCTCAAATGCCACTTAAATTTCTAGGATGGGGTGCCTGAAATTGATTTCAGCTCAGGTCCTGGTTGTGATCCCCCCCGTTTGTGAGCTATATGGCCCCTTGGGCTCTGCACTTCATGTAGGCTGCTTGGTTTAAGTTTTGTGATTTTAGTATTTCCAGTTCTTTTGGTTATAAAGTCCATACTCGTCTACTGACTTCCCTTTCCTCTACAATTGGCTTGTATCCTTGTGTGACTTAACGTTTTCATGTTATGTGAGCCATGTTCTAGATGTGCAGCCTATTCTATGGCTGGCCTAACTTGCCCAGGTAGTTCTCTTACCCTATATGCAGGTACTTATGTTCTACTTAAAGGAAGCATAAACCCTTCTGTAACTGTAAAGGTCTTTGTCCTTAGGCATTGAACCCTAACATACTCTAATATTTTGAAGCTCTATTTTTGTTCTTGGCATGTTGGTTTAGAGATTGTGGCTGTTAGGTTGAAGGAGTGACTTCCCATAATGAGTTTGGCTAGATTCTGATCAGTTTGTGCAAATTTTAAAAATACAATGCTCCGTTTACTAGATCTGTCACCTGTATTTCTAAATGTGGATAATTTGCTTAGAACTTCTGTATAAAAGGGGAAAGTTATTTTATAAATTCAACTGTAAGATTTATTTCCACAATAGGTTGCATTCATAAAAGTCCAGTTAAAATAGCTTTTGTAGAACTGTAGGTCAGTGCTACCTAAATAAAGACATTAAGGCTACTTTGCATTTCAAGTCCTTTATAAAAACCAAAATACGTTTAAAATTAATTACATCCACATCCAGTGTTAGCTCAAAGACTGGACTGTCTTAATCCAGTTTTTCATGTCACCCTGTTCTTCATAAATAGTACTTAAGAATCATGCATATAATGCAGTAGGACTTCGTGAAAAAAGTTGTGGCTTCTCCCAAACTTCTCCATAAAAGCTTCAAAATGTAGCCCTGTCAAGTAGCAGTACTTAAGATATTTAGAACACTTGTGCCAAACTTTGAAGCAGTTTCAATGGTTTGTGACCATGTATCAGTTTCTGATACCTCGTGCATAAGGTATATTAATGGATCCGCCTTCAATTTCTTCACTTTGTTTTTCCCTTTTGGTTTTCTTTTCTGTGGCCCGGGGCCATCAGTTCCTTGGGTACAATCAAAACACTTCCATCTTGGCTGCACTGAAGAGTGTATTGGTTCGGATTGACTGGCCTACCTTCATCATCTCTTAGCCTACTAAAAATATCACGATACAGGTTATGCAGTTTCTGTTTCAGTATGTTAATAGCTTTGTTATACTGGGCTCGTTCTCTCTTAAGGATTTCCTTCTTTGCTTGCAAGTTACATACGTCATCTTCAAGATTCAGAATTATGTCCAGTTTGCGCTTACGACAGTTCTGAGCAGCAACTTTATTTTTCCCTCTTCTTCTAATATCACGGATGAGTGACATTTGTAAATCTGTCAAATAGTGCCTGCTGAGCATGTTGTTGAAAGACTCAACGGGCATACGGACAATTTCATCTACAGAAAAAGGGATATGCAATGCCTTAGCACGCCGCTCATCACGGCTTAAGTTTCTGTCTGTGTCATTGAGGCATCTACCCCTTATTTTCTGTGACTTCCCATACCGTGAAAAAGAATTAGAAGTGGATTCTAAACCACTTGGCTGTAAGTGGTAAGTGTGGTTATGAAATAGGTGTTGAAATGCAAAATCCCCATGAAAACCAGAATCACTCCTATGATCCACGTGACAAAGCTTATTGGGTTCTGGGTAGT